TTCAAGTATTAATGGTCGAATATCACCACTTTTCTTTCATCTTCCACGCGCATAGCCCAGCATTCACAGCCATATAGGACAGACCGAACGGTACACGGTACACGCGAACCTTCGTGGCAATGGAAATAACGCGTCATGCTCATAGCCACTTTCTAATGCTCGACCGCGTTCCCACCCGCACTCACGGCGGCCAAGGTCTGCTACACCAGACCTCCCTACGGTGGATCTATCTCCCCTCCTCCATGTTTTTTAACGACGGAGCAGCCCCTCCCGACCACGCTGCTCCGACTTTCCCTCCTCGCCGCCGGGATTGGGGCCAACCCGACGGGGCTACTAATCCAACCCTTACACTGTGCATTTGGTAGCAACCTTATGATTTATGGATGAATCCAAATAATAAGGTTTAACTCAAAGGTCGTCCGACATGAAGCAAGGCTGAATACGATGGTAATAAAATCAAACGATAGCTTCACAGCCTAAGGTCACATTGACTTACAGCCTTAAACCACAAATTATAAAAGCAATTAGAACTGACGGTGGATTAACTTGAAGGTCTTCAAGGTCACCAGTAATAACACGATTGACGTGTCTATCAGTGAAAGTTTTCTCCAAGATTACTGCCAATGTGGACTAAATATTGATAAGTAATAGGTGAACTTCCCCGTGTTTGCTTTTCGTTTTAAGACTCGGTGCTAAAGGTTATGGCGGTGTACGTTGTATGCCAATTACAAGAGAAGTCCTAACAAGTCTAAATCATGAGAATTTGTGCTGCTTACATAAGTGTCGCACATCAGCACTCTTCGCAATTATCGTCATAAATAAGAATCAGCGGCTGTTTGGGTGTGAAAGGGAAATAAATGTGACTTACCGGTCGGAAGAGAGATCTCCCATGATGAGTTGAACAAGGCCGGTCGAATGACCCAGCAACACTATTTCCCGACTATCGGCCACCTCGATGCATGTGACCTCTCCAGCTTGCTTGTCAGGCGGTGCGGCCTTGACTGTGCGACAGCACACAGGAGTTGAGGTCTTCGACATGAGCGACCACTTTCGAGTGTTCCATACGCATAACTTTTCGTCGTAGGGCTCATCGGCACCCACAGTTACCAACAGATCAGCGTTTTTGGCTTGTACACAGTGGCGTACGGGTAGGAGGTGAGCTCGGAAGGAGGAAACACAGAAACTGCTATTCATGCAATGCATGAAACCATCTTCGTCACCTATCCACAGATAACCGCAACCCGCAGTCACACATGTCACGGGAACATCCTAAGGGAGGGAAAAAACACAGTTTATTTATGTGTAATGATAGTTTGAGGAATCAACCAACTGGGACTGTATACTAAGGTCAGGCTGTGTTAGATGCACTGGAGAATGGTAGAAGGTAAAGAAATCCTAGATAGACATGCTGGATATTAATTGAGCAGCAAAAAATTGTAGACCATAATTTTTTTGTCGGTCTGAAAACAACACAGTATAGCATCGCGGGCACTTTACAAACACGGACCGCTGCCAAACAGTCTCAAATTAAGACTTAGACGCCTTAGCTACCACTCCGAAAGATGAAGTAAAAATGGAAATTACGAGCAAACTAAAAAAGAGGGCAGCAAAGTAAAATAAATAATTTGTGTTACAAAGACAGTTGACAGTGTTTACGAAAGAATAAAGATCAAGTGAACGTATATTACGTACCGCAAAACCGTTGCCTGTTTTGTCAAAATTGACCGGAACAAGTTCAAAGAAGGCAAATCGACGAGACTGCAACGAAAAAAGATAAGAAATTAAGAGACGCTCCTAAGGTATGTTGACTGGAAAATTTAGAACGCATTGAAGAAAGTCTGACTGAGCACAAAAAAATAGGGCAGCGGAACACGACTGTTAAGGATGCAAGTATTCTGGTCATGAATAGAAGCGAATATGCGTGCCCCAGGTTCTTTATTCTGGTCATTTTCTTGGAATAATAACGCTTTAAAATACTTAATTTTAATAATTGTGTGTTAAGAGGACCACGGCCGAGCAGAAACTATTGTGCCTAAGACCTAAATTTTATTCTAAATCACATATTTGGCTTTTTGTAATCTCTGGATATTTGAGCTGTATTCCAGGAATGTTTGATTTTTGTAATCTAAGGCTATCGTTAACACAGATTACGACAGTCCTAATGCAGTCATAGTACTGCTCTAGTAGCGTCGCATGGTGAGTACATGTACTGTGAGCACAGACGGTTGCTATCGATTCCGTTGTCTACACGATACGTCAATCCTTATGTTCCACATGGAAAGTTATTGAGGTAGTGAGATGTTAAGTTTAAGCAGAATGAGGAACATAATTTGGT